GAGTCGATCAGTGGATTCAGCACCCAAAATTTGTGGGAGCATTTCTGAATGCAAAAATCGAATAAGAGATTTCTTAAATAAGGGATAATTTTTCCGAGTTTTTCACACTCCTGGGTAGTTTAATTACGCGCATATATGCTACTGGCTGCCTATTGGCAGCTTGGGAATATTAGGCGGTTATTCCGCAGTAGCTGATGGATTTCAGCTCATGTATTGATATCGAATTTTGGACCGTGCTTGAAAAGGTCTGTTTTGAAAGATTTGGTCCAAGTTCGCGCAATGATTCCCTCGGAAATTAAACAAAGCAAGAATAATGTCTGCCCCGAATATACTTAAGTCATCATCGTCATCTTGGTTTGCTTCCATTGAAACACCGTAATTTTCGTGTGACTCTCTCCCGGCTGATCTCTCCATCCTTTAGTATCCTGTTCATCCCAAAACTAGTTGACGGCGTCCCAGATCTCTGGCAAGAGAGTAATCCGGTTGAAAGAACTGCTTGTGGGAGTTTTGCACGTCCCCTGCCTGAACAAAAGCAGTTTCATATCTTCTTTGTTGCACAGCACAACCCTTAAGTCATTTTATTAGGGGAATGAGGCTTTTGCCCTTGGGCTCCTTATTCGGTAAATCAGGAAGTTCAAAAGTTAACGGTAAGTGTGAGCCGGGCGCAAACTTTCGCCACTAACACAGTCGTGATTATATTAATATAGCGCAGTACAGTATGGTATATTTAGGGTAATAGGCAATGCCCTTGAGAAACCAATTGAAAACGGCGCTCACAATGTTCATTTTAAACACACATATTATTAAAACTTTGACGGTAACATTCGTTAACGGAAAAGCTTTATACAGCGTGGAACCGCGAAGGTTACGGCAGACAGTCCTTTCCATGTACATTTGAGATCATAAGTGCAATTATGTACAATCGGCACAAAATGTAGTCATTTGTGTAGTTTGCGAGAGAAAATTTCGTTAAACGTCCAGGGGTGTATTACATAGGGAGCAAAATCGGAAAAGAAATTTCATGGCTGGCCGCGGATAGTCCTGTAGCTAAGATCGTCGTTTATCAGAGATCGGACGACCCAACTGCCCTCTGAACACAACCATTGTGTCAGATGCCGTTATCCCCCTTAGGAGCAACTTCCGCGGTCGAACCACGCATTTAGTAAATGAAAAATTCAAATGGTCTAGGCGTGTACGCTCCCGTTTGACCTTGTACGAATGGCAGCGCAGGTGACCCATGGTCGTGAAGTTAAAGAAATCTTCAGATGTGAGCGAACAGTCATGCCTGCGGACAATACGGAATGTCCATAACAGGTCACGTCCCATTTGTCTATAAGATAGGGGGAACAAATAAAGCTGAATCAGTCTTTCTGAAAATGACTGAGTCCTGAGACCGTCGTTGCACTTGCTCTACGGCATCGCTGTCTTTCTATATCTAGGGAATCCGAGCTGGCATTCTGTATTCCAAATGCGGTCTGAGGAAAGCACCGAATATCAGTGCAAAGAGTTCGGGACGAAAGACTGTAAAGACACGCCAAATTCAGTGCATGATGCTGGCTGCCTTTTGCACGGCTCTGTTACGGTGCTCGGAGGGCGGCAAGTTTGAACTTGCCCAGACACCTAGGTCTTTGTGCGCGTGCACTTCTTTTATTGGAACACCATTTATGGTGTACTCTTGTTTTGGAAAGCTCCTCCGGTCACATTCTGGGCGCAAGCGTACACATTTGGATACATTAAACACTAGAAGCCACCTGCTGAACCACGCAGCCAAATTATCAACATCTTCCTCTAATTTCTGCGCGCCGTCAACACAGCCGATTGTTCTCCAGGTCTTTTCATCATCAGTAAACATGATGGCATTGCATTCAAGATATGCATCACAGTCCTCTGATTCAGATACGTCAGTAAATGTCCTTTGATAAGTCGTTCCATGACCTTACACAAAATGCAGGTTAAACTGATAGGGCAGTGGTTTTCAGGTTCCAGCCTGGACCTTCCTTTGTAGATTGGAGAAATAAAAACAGTTTTACATCCCTCCAGCACATCACCTTCCATGGACTTTTGAAATATTATGGACACCGGCTCGCACAATTCGTCCACTAATTCTCGAAAGACAAACGGATGAATTGTAAGTCAAGTGATTTAGTAGGTTTTCATCGGATTAGTTCGGTCTTCATCAACGTGGGCGAGAAGTAAAGATTGTCTTATGTCGCAAAAGATGAAGTATTTTGTTGTTAGTCAAGGTGAGGGACAGGAGAGGATTTGTTTCATGAGTGAATACCGAATAAAAGAAACTGGAGAAGACGGAAACCTTCATGTGATCATCTGCCTCAATTACTCCGTTTTGGAGCCTCAGCACTGGAATCTGGTCCCGACTTCTTTTGCCACCACATATGTAACCGTAGAGGATTTAAGGATGCTCCAAAGAGTTTTTTAATATGCATGGCTCATAGTTCCATCGAAGTCTGTTAGCCTCATGTTTACATACATCCCGCTTTCGTTAGTATTCCTGCAGGTATTCAGAACTCTCTGTAGGTCGATAACGTCCCAAAACTTTATTTCACCTCTTAAACGCGATTTGTAGTTTTCGGTTTATCCACGGCAGACGGTTGCTCGCTTTCCGTCGTCTGAGTGGACAGTTTAGATCAGCCATTCTTTTACCCGGTGGGCTGAACGTGCTCTAGTACTCGGTAACTGTTTCCTGCAATATGGTTGTCCACGGTATTGCCGAAACTTGCATTCACATGCTGGAAAATCTCCCTTCCAGATGCTTGTTTTTATTTGTTCAGGTGAATCAGGTTGGGCGAACATGGAGTACTCGAAGAGCACCACAATATGACCATTAGCATCAAGTGACGGTAGGATTTGTACACCCAGCAAACTCTCCTCATCTTGAGTGAGCACAGGGTCAAGGCAGTTTGAACGTTGTCCTTCCCTAACACTTGTTCTAAGAGTTACATTCTGGAAAAGGAGTTTCTCCACTGCGAGTTCATGCAAATTTTGCCCGGATGTGTCCGATGGACTGGAAACCGTCTAGGCTTGCCGGTCTATATTGGGGGCGTTAAAATCCCCAACAATAAGGACGTCTCTGTTCGAGCAGGTCTTGCTAAGTTCAGTTAGAAGAACGCTATCTTTTTGGCAATTTGGTTTGCCGGACGATATACAACTGCAAACGCCATCGGCAAGCGTACTTATTAAAGATAATTATAGATAAAAATCCTACTTTCGCTTTTGTTGTGAGATACTGTTCAGGGACCACGGTTACGTTGTAGTTAACATAGACGGGGATCCCTCCTCCTTGGCTCTTCCTGTCTCTTCTAAACAGTTGATAACCTTCGAGGGATGTCTCATGTTCTCCAATAACTTCAAAAAGCCATGCTTCTGTCAAGGCAAGGATATCTGGCGTGTTCTCGTCAGCCAGAATGCCGAGTTCATCCACTTTTTTTAAAAAGGCTCTATTTATTCGAGCCCATCACCCTTAATGGCCGTCTTTTTGGAGGGAACCAGATCTGATTACAAAGGGATTTTGCCACAGGAAAGATCGCCTGATCTGCACTATCTTACCTTCCCTTATCTTCAAGCCTTTCACAGCTCCCTCATTTTGTGTCTTTCTGTCGGTTAGCAATTCGGCTGAATAAACACCTCCTTATGCGAATGACGAAGAGCCGTCCTCCGTTCATTTTCAAGAATGATTTTGAAAGGCCTTGGTGATGACAGTCCCCGCGGCGCATCTGCGTTTCCTAGACGGAAAGATTTGTGCACGGTAACACATTCTCCGTCCTGAAGGACGGAATTTGAATATGTTCGAAAGAGATTCAGATAATGTGCGATCCTTTCTTTTGCAGTGGGGGAGTGGACTCAGGAGCTCCCTTCATGACGATATTCCGCTTTCAATCAAGATGCCTGTTTGGTGACTCAGGCGTATGCCTTATAACGATGCCTTGCTACGATCGAGTGGATGGCTCTGGCATTTATTTGCACGCACCTGGTCAACATTACGCTAACTTCCGTTGTCATTATCGTTTAAATCAGAGACGACCGTCGTGGTATAGCTACCACGGGGTTACTCACCCAACGAGGCGTCTTGATCATTCACTGCATTCTTCGGCAGTAAGGCATTTGTTTGTATTGTGTGTGGATTCTGCTCTTTCAAATGGACAATGATCTACTTTGGCTTTTCGGGATTCCCTGGTGCGCTTCTGCCTTTTGTAAGATCGCTTTCTGTCTGCTTTTTCTCGCACAAGAGATCGGTTCTCAGTTGGGATTAGTTCCTTGGTCTAGCTGTCTCCTTCCTGAGTGGCTGAAGCAGTTAATAAGGCTGTTTTTCTATTTTCTAAGCTCTGGCGTCGCTGACCTCCTCTTTTCGGGTGAATGGCGAGGACGTTTCATCAACTTTTAGCGACATTTAAGTCCGTTTTGTTTTAATCGGTTACAATACGCTTTGACACAACTTTGCATAAGACAAAGAACATACACGTGCACTTTTACCTGCTGACGACTTTGTTCTTATTAACTAGTTTGAACTGTTGGGATACTGCTATTTTCGTTTTCTGGATAGCCTACTCGCTGTGCCCAACTAGTGGGTTTGTCTCTTACACTGGTGACCCTATATCGTTCATAGCTCCTTCTGTTTAATTTCTGTGCATAACTATTTCCATTCGGATTAGTCTTCACTCTAATTTTTATAGATCAGTTTATTCATCTAGCCCTTATTTGCTATTCACACTCTCTCACCCTTTCATCCAATACGAGCGCTACCCTTCAATCTCACTGTCAATGCGCCAGTCCTCCACATCATTTATCTGACCTCTGACCGACCTCGGCTAACTATGTCCAACGATTCTACCAGCTAGCCGATAGCCGGCATTCACACCTTTGACCTGCCATCCGTGTGGCTCGGTGACATCGCGTTGTGGCTGCGCACTGTGGAGTCCCGTTTCGCCCTCCGTCAGATCACACGAGAGGATACGAAATTTCACTATGTTGTGGCAGCACTCCCAATGGACATCGCCACCGACCTCCGCGACATCATAGATTGCCCGTCCACAGAAGCCCCTTATACTGCCCTAAAGGAGGCTCTCATTTCCCACATTTCCCTCTCAACGCAAAAACGTCTCCATCATTTAATTTCTGAGGAGGACCTCGGTGACAGGAAGCCTACGCAGCTTCTTAGGCGTTTGGAGCAGTTGGCAGACGGAAAAAAGCTGGATGCCACCATGCTCAAGCAACTTTTCCTCCAACGGTTGCCTCTTTCTGTGCAAGCCATCCTTGCGACTAACATTCCTTCATCGACTGTTCAGATGCTCGCGGAGACTGCTGACCGTATACTCGAGTACTACCAGCCTCCTGTTACGGTTAACGTCGCTAGTCGAATCACAACTGCCCCCACAATCGAAGAAGTCGTCAAACGCCTGGATGCCCTCACTCTCGAAGTTTCCCAGCTCCGGGCCTCTCGTGTCTATAACCCTCGTAGTCCTGCAATTTATCGCCGCCCGAGATCGCCCACTCAAAACCAACCTACGGTTGATGGTTTCTGTTGGTATCATCACAATTATGATTCTAACGCCCATCGCTGCCACTCTCCGTGCAAGTATAAAACACCCGCGTCGGAAAACTCCCCTGCCGACCAGTAAGGGCGACGAACGTGGTCGGCACACGCTCTCCCAGTCGCTTACTCCACATCTATGACAGGACTTCCTGTCGTAATTTTCTCGTGGATACTGGTGCGGAGATCAGTCTAATCCCACCCACCTTGACTGACCGTAAGTCACCAAACTCTTCATTTTTCCTCCAAGCAGCTAACAATACTTCTATTAAAACTTTTGGTCAACGATCCCTAACACTAGATTTGGGTCTAAGACGTTCATTTCGTTGGCTATTTACTATCGCTGATGTCCATACTGCCATTCTCGGCGCTGATTTTATATCCTTTTCGGTCTCCTCGTTGACATTAAGTCCCATAAATTATTTGATCCTAAGGCTTCTTTACATTGTAATTGTTCCACTCGTACCCTTTCATCACCTAATCCACGCACTTCAACAATCTCTTCGTCTACTCCCTATCATCGTTTACTTTCGGAATTTCCATCTATCACACGACCTTCACAATTTAACCAACCTATCAAGCATTCTGTTGTACATTATATTTCAACTACTGGACCACCCGTGTTAAGCCGTCCCCGTCGTTTAGCCGCCGATAAGTTAGCCATAGCCAAGGCTGAATTCAGTCACATGATGGAGCTAGGCATAGTAAGGCCTTCCACTAGTCCATGGGCTGCACCTCTACATATGGTGTGCAAAAAGTCTCTCGTTGACTGGCGCCCATGCGGGGATTACCGACGGTTAAACACCTCCACTGTGCCTGACAGGTATCCACTTCCCCATCTCCACGACTTTTCATCTAGCCTAGCTGGAGCAACAATATTTTCCAACATTGACTTAGTCAAAGCCTTCCATCAGATACCCGTTGCTCCAGAAGACGTTCCCAAAACGGCGATTACAACACCGTTCGGTCTGTTCGAGTTTGTCAGGATGCCTTTTGGGCTACGCAACTCCGCCAAAACTATTCAACGTTTCATCAACAAAGCCATCCGCGTTCTACCTTTCGTTTTTGTCTACGCCGACGATGTTCTGGTAGCAAGTTCGAGTGAACACGAGCACCTACAACATTTGCGTCTCATTTTTGAACGATTAAGCCAATTTGGCGTTTTCATTAATGTTTCTAAATGGGTTTTTGGCGCACAGTCGCTGTTTTTCCTAGGACATCGCGTAGATGCTTCTGGTTGTCATCCCATAGATGCCAAAGTTTCAGCTATTCGCGATTTCCCTACTCCCACTTCTTTTCAACAACTGCGCCGTTTTATAGGCCTTGTCAATTTCTATCGACGTTTCATCCCTCATTGTGCTCAATTAATGCTACCACTTAATAACTTTTAACGCGGAAACAACCGTGAGTTTTCTTTTCCTGAAAAAGCTGCAGAGGCTTTCAATCGTGCGAGGAAGGCTCTTGCGGATACAACTGCGCTTGTTCACCCTTTACCTGATGCCCCACTTTCCATTGTGACCGACGCCTCCAATTTCGCTATAGGTGCTGCCCTTCAGCAACAGACGCCCACTGGCACCCAGCCCTTGGCTTTCCACTCTGCCAAATTGACACCCCCACAAACTTGCTATAGCACTTTTGATAGTGAACTTCTTGCAATTTCTTTAGCCATTAAGCATTTTCATAATGATATTGAGGGCCGAAATTTTTGTATTTATACTGACCACAAGCCTCTTACTTATGCCCTCTCTACTTCTTCTGACAAGTATTCACCCCGCGAGGCCCGCCATCTCGATTTTATTTCTCAGTATACCACCGACATTCGATTTCTTAAAGGCCTTTATAATCAAGTTGCTGACTGTCTTTCTCGGCCTGGCATTAATGCCATCACCCGCCCTTCCATCGATTTGGAGCGCATGGCAGAACTGCAAAATGAGCCGACTTTCAGTGAGAGCCTTCAACACACTAGTCTTCAACTCGAAGCCATTCCTCTTTCCACCACCCCCGGTACAATCTTGTGTGACGTATCGCGCAGTGCCTCCCGACCCGTAGTGCCAAACGAGATGAGATGAGATGTTTTTGCCGCGTTGTACAATCTAGCTCACCCTGGCATCCGCACTACCCAGCGCCTCGTCAGCGAGCGGTTCGTTTGGCCAAGCATGAACACTGATATCCGCCAGTGGACCCGCTCATGTTTGGCCTGTCAGAAGGCCAAAGTCGGACGGCACAACCAAGCCCCAATTGGCACTTTTCTCGCACCCGACGCACGTTTCTCACATGTCCATATCGATCTCGTAGGTCCCTTTCCAACATCTCGTGGTTGCAACTACTTACTTACTGCGATTGACCGATTTACTCGTTGGCCGATTGCAACTCCCACACCTAACATAACTGCAGATTCCGTTGCTCATGCCTTTTTGGAACACTGGATCTCTCATTATGGCGTCCCCTCAACAATTACCACCGATCGAGGTCAACAATTCGAGTCTAGACTTTTTAACAGCCTTACCAACCTCCTCGGATGTTCTCGCATACGCACGACAGCATAACACCCCTCATCCAACAGCTTAGTCGAGCGTTTCCACCGGCAACTCAAAGCCTCGCTCCGAGGTCATGACAACCTTTCCCATTGGAGCGAGCATCTGCCTTTGGTCATGCTCGGTATCCGTACCGCACTCAAGCCCGACTTGGAGTGTTCCGCTGCCAAACTTGTCTACGTTACCACCCTAGATTCCCAGAGATTTTTTTCGGGTACTCTCAAAGCTCAGGCGACTTGGATCCCAGCGATTATGTGCAAAGATTGCGCCAAACCATGACTCATCTTCGAGCCACTCCTTCACGTCCTTCAACAAGAAAGTCGTACGTCGACTCGAACTTACTAACACGTTCTTTTGTATTTGTTCGCGTAGATAGCGTTCGCCGGCCACTACAACAGCCCTATGACGGCCCATTTCGAGTACTATCGCGCAAAGACAAGCATTTTACAATTGACCGTGGAGGCCGCACCGACGTGGTCTCAATCGATCGCTTGAAGGCGGCTTATACCGAGCCTCTTTCAACTTCACCAACCGAACAACCTCCACTTGGCACATTGCCACTTGCTATTTCCCAGACTCCATTTACGCCCAATAACCCCGCGTCTTCCCTTGTCCCACAGACTCCTCCCCTTACGCGCAGCGGTCGTCATGTCCGTTTTCCGACCGTTACCAACTTGTACAATATGCATAACACTTCCACATTTTTCTTCTATTAACAATAATTATTTTTTTGAACTCCGTTCTCCTAAGAGGGGGAGTATTGTAGTGACATTTAAGCCCGTTTTGTTTTAATCAGTTGCAATACGCTTTGACACAAATTTGAATAAGACAAAGAACACGCACGTGTACTTTTACCTGCTGACGACTTTGTTCTTATTTACTAGTTTGTAACTGTTCGGATACTGCTATTTTCGTTTCCTGGATGGCCTACTCGCTGTGCCCAACTAGTGTGTTTGTCTCTTACAAACTCATCCATATCCATTTTTAGGTCTCTTACCTCTTTCTCCATCTTTAAAACCTTCTAGAGAAGTTTAAAACACACAACACGGCCTTAATCTTCATAGCTGACTTCCATTAAGCTTACTTAACTCTTGGCCCGTTTGACTGGGGGAGATATAATAGCAGGAGACCCGACAGTGTATTCGTTTATGCAATGTGCTTTGTTTACTCCATCATTTTCCAGTCTGTCTGCTGCGGGTCCCTAATCCAGTAGGTTTGAATGAGTTCACCGCGAAATTGCCTGTAATTGAGAGAAAACAGATTAAGTTCAGCCATTCTGGTTTCGTAAGACAGATGAATCATTGTCGTGCAATTTGTGACTGATTACCATTTATCTTTTTGATCCAGAAGGCTGCGCAAACGGTTATTTTCCCGGTCGAATGAAGCATATTTTTCCGTAGGTATTGAAAAAAATCAGCATTGGCGAAGGTACTTTCTTCCGAGGTAGGAGCATTGAACTCGGTCAAATCCTGTGCGGCTAGGCACTGTCGGCGGTCGAGGAGGTTCCTTTAAATGACTCCAGGTAACTTTATCGACTGAATATCTTGAGAAATTCACTGGGGCTGGTTTTGACTTCTAAGCCCCGTCGCGACATTTCCTTTTCCTACCAATCACGAAGGATAGTCTTCGGATCCAGAACATTCGGGGCAGGTGAGACGTTGATGATAATTACATATATAGACACCTGATTATATCGCCTCTTGGCTCAAGAAAATTCCAATAATTTACATTCAGAAGTGCAGTCGGGCCGGCTTCTAAAACGTTGATAACCAGGACAAATTGCTTTTGATGACACCGCTAGGATCGTCTAGCGCAGAAATCCAGCCTGCCTCTATCAGGACTTCGTTATCATTATCTAACTGTCCCGGCTACCTGCGTCTGTGCATACCGTGTCGTTCCTCGCATTTAACTGTACTCTTGTCACTGTATTTTTGAATTTTTTGTGTTTACCATTTTGCCTTTTGGAGTGCAACACTGTTCACCTTCTTCTGGCTATAGTTGTTCTGCTGCATAAGCGCCTTTAAATTTGGAAGCACATTTTCAAGTTTCTGGATTCTGGAAAGGAGATATGCGCATTCAAATCAAAGTTAATTCTAGTATCACATAAATATTGGGGTGATTACGTGTTTGGTCCACGTAACCAGTCATGGACTACAGGCTTAAACAAGGCGGGCGTATGTCCTGAGCACGGAGGTCACCTAAGCAGGCTTCTCTCCAAACAATGCGCCAGGGCGAAGAACCATAATCTGAAGATCTCGTCAACTTCATAGAGAAATGCGTTGATGATACATGTACTCGTTTCTGAGAAGTAGTGGTTAGTTTATGAGACCATGAAAGTTAGCAGTCCAGTAGAACACAAAGATTGTCAAACAATCTTCAAAGGAAGGTGGATGTTTCTAATGGCACGGAAATAAAGCGTAATGGAGCCCCTGTCTAGTTCCGTTGCACGGTCTGTGGAGAAGATCATTATATTGATAAATATCCAGCATTCGTAGCCTATGAAAAAAAGGGAAAGAGAACGGTCGTGCAAGAAGGTAAACTGTTCCGTCTTTGC